TGATATCGGATAGTTGCGAATGTTACCAAAATTTAGATGTGTTTCTATTAAACGGAAACACATGAAATTATTCAAACATTATATTCTTAAATTTTGACGAGAGATATATTCCGTTCATAATTTTATCATGTAGTATTACCATTATTTTACCATGCATCTTTACTCACAGGGATTAGACAAAGATATCTTCAATTCAATTTTGCATACACTTGAAAAAAAAAAACCCAAAAAAAACAGAATATCAAGTTCTTAAGACTTGCCGCTGGATTGTATTCTTCTACAGTTTTTCATTAAATTATTTAAATACATTGCCACATTTCATTGAGCATTTCATCAGGTTTTTTTTCTGTAACGACACAATCTCTATAACCTTCACTGTAACTTACAGTTTTTACTTCAAAATTTGCTGGATTTTAAATTACAGGTTTTTACAAAAGGGCATAGAGAAGAAATGGAAGATCGTCGATTTCATTTTGTGGAATCAGAATATGCGCCAGGACAAGATTAACCAGAAAAACTCAAAACCTCAATTTCCAAGGAAAGTGCCCTTACAGGCTTTTGTAGTGTGGCTGTCGAATATACTTTTAATAACTTTAAAATAAAATTAATATTATCTATATCGGTAAATTTAGGGGCCAGGGTAGCCATACGGGCTAAGGCGCTTGCAATGGGTAATCAAAGTTAAGCAACGTCGACCGTGGTTAGTACTTGGATGGGTGACCGCCCGATTTGAGTGACAGTCCACCAAGGGATTCCTTTCCTCCCGCCGGGTATGTAAGGCCCGTTAGCTTACTGGAGGCAACTCACACCGACCTGGCGTAGGACTGACGACTCTACCCCGTGTACCAGTGTATCTGCAATCGGGGTGTGGTCTACTAGGATGTCAGTTGCCTCCCTGAAGTTTGGTCCATGGACGGTCGGTTTCGGAGAAAGAAATATAGATCGTCGTGCACCTGCTGACTTTCAGCAGCCATAATACGTGGATCCAAAAAGATTTGTCACTGTCCTTAAACCCGAGTGCATTGGTAGGACATTGTCAGATTGGCCCCAAAGGGCTCGCGGCCAAAGACCTTCATGGTCTGTAGCGCCAACTGAAAAAAATCGATTAATGCATTGCTTTCTAGAGTGTCAGTTTACTAGATAAGTTAATCTATTTTTTTATTACAGAAAATATTGATACTTGATACCAGAAATGCAGCTGTTTGAGAGGCGTTGGGATCTCCTTGAGTCCCACCTTTCTTTCAACGAGTGAGGGGAAAGGCTTAGCTTGGAGTTTTCCTGAGTGAATGATTTTTTAAAAATAATTTTTAAAATCATGGCTGTACTTAAGCTGTTATTTTGATGAATTTATTTTATTTGTGTTTATACAAATACATTTACTATTAGTATTAATATTTTGCTGTTTGATATAATTTTATTCATTGTTCATGCAGTGTGATCGAGCTACTCTATCACTATTACTAATTTCCTTAATTGTGACAAAATGTTATATTACTCAAAAAAGAAATGTAAAAAAAAAATTCAACACTTAAAAGACGAAACTATAACACGGGATCACCGATTTCAATGGGACTTTTTTTGGCGATGTATCGAAAAATATCAATTTATTAGTTTAAGGAACCTGCTCTTTCCTATATTGATTTTTATAGATCATTTGTAACATCCGCTAATCTTTGTTTATACATAATATTTAAATGCATTTGCATTTAAATAGATAAATGTGTAAATATGAAACAAATAACTGAAATTTCAATTAAATTTTTAATATGGAATATATCATGTGTTTGCATCAGTCGACTATATTTGTTCTGAAATCAATTCCTATCGATAGTTTTAAATAAATAAATAAAATAAAATACCTTTTTCGATCAAATCCACAGATTGTTTATTGAAGGATAACTGCAGGTAAAGCACACATAATGTTTTATTTTATTTTTTTGTTTTAAGTTGTTTATATTTAGATTTATCAACAATCAACTCAATATTTATCGTTCAAAAATTTGGTTTTCTAAAATAATACTAAAATTATAAAATAGTAGATTAATGGTTGACTGTTGTGAAAATTGAAGAGAAGTTGGTTGGGGTATTCAGTATAAAATACAATGTAAACATATGTAAATGATGAATGAAACAAATGAAAAAGTGGATGTTATAAATACGAATGAAAGCAAAAATAAAAAAAAAAATATGTAATTTTTTATTTTTACTAATACAAATAAATACATTTTTAATTAAATTTTTAATATGGTTTATATCATGTGTTTGTATCAGTAAAATAAATATCATTTATTTATTTTTACTTTGTATTTTTAGCTGAACACCTCAACCAACATCTCTTAAAAATTATAAAACAATAATATTCATTAATGAATAATAAAAGTCACTTGACTTATTAATTTTTATTCTTTTTTCACTATAGGTTTATATGTAAAAATATAGTATGCAGTTAGAAAATAAGAATTACAAAATTTAAACAACCGACTAATTTGAAATTGATGAGCTCTTAAACACATGACCAGCTTAGGATATGATAGATTGCCGGGAACAACAGGCAAGTAGCTAAGTATCCAAAGTTGACCTCACTTAGCACTCCGTCATGATGATAATTCTCCCTCCCTAAGTTTGCAAGTCGTTTATTAAATCCTTTATCTCCTCAAAATATCTAGGTAGCAAGTTTCTAATTTGTCGTGAAAATCTAATAAAATTAACAATTTAAGTCTTGCAACATGGAATATCTATGTTACAATCCAAAACGTACGAAAGTATTTTTAATGTTTGTTAGGAAACTCATATTTAATCTTAGATGTTAATTGAAACATTGAAACTTCTTAGTAGTTTCCAAGGGAACATTTATTATTTTATGAGAAATGTGGTTTGTATGTTTGACATGTACAACTATTACATCCAAATTTTATTAATTTTTAGTGAGATTATAATATGTAGATTAATAATAATAATAAGGCTTAGCGAACCCGAAGGTTCGATGCCGACACCACCAATCGCTTGTTACACACCTCCCTCCACCGTTCGCCGTCCAAACCCAGTCCCTTCAGATCGGCTTTAATGCAATCCTCCCATCTTCGCTTCGGTCTACCCCTCGGACGCTTACCATAATATGTAGATTATGAAATTTATTTAAATAATTAAGCGTCATCTTTCAGAAACGAACAATTCATTATAAAATTAACTACAATGCATAACATAATTTATATAAAACTATATTTTCTCAACTAGTTTGAATCATTTACTTATGCCGAATTAATATTGTTTCCTCATTACTGTACTTTATCTAATTATTTTTCTATAAATGTCTCCATCAACTTTTAGTTAGGAGGAGAGCGAATTTTGGTTCTCGAATTTCCAAAACCATCACATTTCAGAACCCAATGGACAATTCTGATTTCTATCCGACAGTCAAAAATCTTGGAGTGATCTTTTATCAGAACCTCTCTTGGATCACATTTCCCAAATTACCCGTAAATCCATAAATATTCCTAAACAATATCTGCGATTCCGTGAATCTATTCTAAAAAAAGAACCAGATAGATCCTTGTAACATCAGTTGTTTTCTCCCCTTCTACTAGGGTTGCTTGGTGTATGGAGGTCTGTCCAGAAGACTAGAGGCGAGACTGAAGAGACTCGTGAATTACTTCATAAGATTCATCTTCGAAATTCCCAGGCGTTCCGATGTTTCCTTCTTGTACCCCGAGTTGAAGTGGCTCTATCCTGCTTCCCGACGGCAGTTTCTTCTAAGCGTTTTCCTTTTCCAAGTCCTCAGAACCACAAATCCCTCCTACGTTCTAGAACTCCTTACTCCTCTACGTTTTTCTATCCACCCTCTTTCCTTCAGCAAATTAGAAATCCTTACCTATCTCCATATGTTAAACCACGTCCACCAATTCCTTCAAACAACTCCTATTTCACTACTTACTACACATTCAAATTTCCGCAAGCAAATTTTCAGGTTATGTAATCATAGGTGTTCACGAACAGTTAATTTACAATGACCATTTTATTATTTTTTATCCTCTTAATATTTTTTGTATATATTTTTTTTATTTATATATATATTGTAACATATTTTATTAGGGCCCTTATAAATTGTAATTGTTAACAGAACTCATGTTCATGTGTTGTTCTTTTATTATTTTTGAACTGTGTGAAAAGAAGTACTTATATGTAATATATTTATAAATTCTAATTTATTTCTAGATATTGTATTAATTTTAGTTGTGATTTAATTGTAAAAACAATAATAACATTTAACTATCGATAAAGATTAAAAGGTACGATGTATTTATTAGAGCTAACGGACGGGAGATCCTTCTCTGTCAAAGGTTGAATTGTAAATGACTAGTGGTATGGTGTTTTGGAGGATGCGTGTGGCGCCCTCTAGGCGTTGTTCTAATGAACTATTTTATTCATTTATGCAGGTCATTGTTTTTTCTAATAATGATTAATAATTTTAGTAGCGCAACCTGTTAATTTCCTAGTGAACTATGAATTTCATTTAGAAGCTATTTATTATTTCTTTTTACTGATTTTGTAAATAACTAATGTTTGTAATATTTTTAAAATGAGTATTCATGTACTATAATTAAATAAAAATAAAAGGAGTTTGGACTTAGAGAGATCTCAGGGCCTAATTAAAATAATTGTTACTAGTGTTGTCTCTCACAGGTCTGAGGGCTCACTATTAGTATAAATAGCAGCCTGGCCCCTAGGGCAGGCACTCTCTCCCGAGTCACTACCTTCTCACATAGGCTCCTGGTATCTCTCTGTCTGACAGTTTGAAACCAGACCAATGTGTTATTTTTTGGTTTTACCTTCCTCCTTCTCTTTTCTCTCCTAACCTACCTCCTCTCTCCTTTCGTAGGAATAACTTGGTTGGCCCTTGTTTTCCTACAGTCCCCCTTGCATCTTCCAGGTTGTCCCTGGGAGTGTAGGGTTACCTATCCTCGCAATGTCAGGGGATTGCCTCCTCGGTTGCAGAGCCCTGGATGTGTAGGGGTTGTCCCCCTATCATTCTTGGCGGTCTTACCCTTATCCTATCCTCGCAACGTCAGGGGATTGCCTCCTCGGTTGCAGAGCCCTGGATGTGTAGGGGTTGTCCCCCTATCATTCTTGGCGGTCTTACCCTTATCCTATCCTCGCAACGTCAGGGGATTGCCTCCTCGGTTGCAGAGCCCTGGATGTGTAGGGGTTGTCCCCCTATCATTCTTGGCGGTCTTGCCCTTATCCTATCCTCGCAACGTCAGGGGATTGCCTCCTCGGTTGCAGAGCCCTGGATGTGTAGGGGTTGTCCCCCTATCATTCTTGGCGGTCTTACCCTTATCCTATCCTCGCAACGTCAGGGGATTGCCTCCTCGGTTGCAGAGCCCTGGATGTGTAGGGGTTGTCCCCCTATCATTCTTGGCGGTCTTACCCTTATCCTATCCTCGCAACGTCAGGGGATTGCCTCCTCGGTTGCAGAGCCCTGGATGTGTAGGGGTTGTCCCCCTATCATTCTTGGCGGTCTTGCCCTTATCCTATCCTCGCAACGTCAGGGGATTGCCTCCTCGGTTGCAGAGCCCTGGATGTGTAGGGGTTGTCCCCCTATCATTCTTGGCGGTCTTACCCTTATCCTATCCTCGCAACGTCAGGGGATTGCCTCCTCGGTTGCAGAGCCCTGGATGTGTAGGGGTTGTCCCCCTATCATTCTTGGCGGTCTTTCCTTATCCTATCCTCGCAACGTCAGGGGATTGCCTCCTCGGTTGCAGAGCCCTGGATGTGTAGGGGTTGTCCCCCTATCATTCTTGGCGGTCTTTCCTTATCCTATCCTCGCAACGTCAGGGGATTGCCTCCTCGGTTGCAGAGCCCTGGATGTGTAGGGGTTGTCCCCCTATCATTCTTGGCGGTCTTTCTTACCTTATATACCTTATCCATCTCATCCTATCTAAGCTTATACACCCCATTCTTACAAACTTAAATAGCTACACGAATACCAGGTTAATTGACTAACAGAAAGATTAAAGGTTAGAAGGACAGATTTCAGATTTTAAAAGACAAACGTCGGCAATAACAGACAGACAGACAGAGATATAAAATAAGAGATAAAAAAAAAAAATTACAATATATATATATATATATATATATATATTATATATATATATATATATATATATATATATATATATATATATATATATATATATATATATATATATATGTATATTATCCAGAAGCCAGACTGATATTTTTTGAACTCTGCTATTATTGTAAGGGGACTTCAGTCCCAAAATAAAATTATTTTCCATTTCATTTCATCAATCCCTACCCTCATACAAAAAAAAAGTTGAGCATTACTTATATGACACTACAGATATTGTTGATGTTCTTTGAAAATGTCTTGTCAATTTTTTTATTTCCTTCTATAGGAAATTAATATAATTAATATAATCGGATATCTTTTTTTCCATTTTTTATTTCAATAAAAATATTCGGCCATTTGGCCTATATAACCTCATTAATTGAATACGTTAGGGGAAGAGGTCACGCCAATTGGCCCAAATCTTTGTAAACCCTATTTTTCCTCGAGTTTTTGATAAAATTATTATATGATTCAAGTGGAAAGTAAATGTTTATTTACGAGTTTATAGAGCTTCATTAAATAGACAAAGTTTACCGATCAGCATATTTAAAATAAAATGAAACCAATCACGATGTTTCAGATAGATAATAATAATTTGATAAAAAGGAGATTAATACTGCATATTAATAACCTTATCAACAGTTATAGGGAGAGGCAGGTAGGCAGAGGTGGATAAGGTTGGTTCATGGGAAACATCTACAAGGTCGTTAAAGACAATAATAAAAAAATCTGGTGCGTGCAACACACAACTTACACTTACTTGAATATAAATTATTTTTAGGCAATTTTGGGTTATTATAAAATTCGGAAGTGCATTTATAACCGAGCTAAAGCTTAAAGCTTCGAGTTAACATTAATAACATCATCAAATTAATAAATTAATAAATCATTAATAACATTAAAATTACAAAAATCCTATTTATTATATCGACGGTTGATTATGGATTGTACGTTCCGTCGATTATGGACAGTACGACAATTAATTATTGAACTGTTTTTTTTTTTTTGCAAAGTTTACTAAAATGGAATTACTACATTTGCATTGCCTGCCATAGGACAAACGTCACACTAATTGCTAGTTTCGATATCAAAATGGTAAAATCCATCAAATTATTCACTAATTTAGTTTTCTAAAAGTTTACATGATGATTTTTAGAAATAAACGGACGGTAGATACCTAATTATTTAAATATAATATCAGATCTAGACTTATAAACTACAGTAAATGTATTAAAGGTTACATATCCATGAAATATTTTTATATTTCACTATTCCTTTCACACAAATACAATGAAACGGTATTTTAACCAATGTTATTACCTTTATTCGGAGGATTTTAAATATTTTCTTAAATACTTATTTAAACATTTACATTTAGTTAAAAAATTCTATGTAATTTCCTTGGAAACAAGTTATTTAAGTTAAATAATGTTTTCAGAAATTATTATTCATATTTTTTGTCAATTTCCGTTACCTTCTACAACTTTGTTTATTAGATTTTTTTTTTTCTAAAGTTCTTCGCATTCCAACAATATATTATACGTATACCTTCTGAATATTATTTCCGGAGATTCGTTTTCGACCTAGATATCCATTTTTCTTTTTTTTTTTCCTTTATTAATTATCACATTCTTTCAAAAGTAATATTTTGTTATTTTTTTTATATTTAGTTGATGCTAATAACAGAGAGTTATTTTTTAAAAACATACTAAATTAAATTTACTTTGTAGGAAGACGTATATGAACATTGGGAATTTAAGCCGTGTAAAGTCACATCAATGTGAATAATACCTAGCTGATATTAAAAAAACTTAATAATACACCGAATTTAATCAAAATTGTTAGAAGCGTTTTCGAGAAAATCGTTTTCGCCGATTGGCGAAAAAGTTGCTGTAACATCCCAGACATGTACTAACCTTAAATATGCAATTTTATTTTCGTATGACTTTTCGTTGTTGAGCAAGACTGTTAACACACACAGACCATTTTTCGGGACTTGGTTATTTGGACTCAGGGTACCTCAAAACGTGTATTACCGTTGAAAACTCAGATTCGAAACATTTCTCGATCGCAATACCTTCCCTTACTATATATTACATATAAAGGTAAGTGAAAGTAAAAATACACGATCAACGTTGTATTATATTATCATTAGTTGTTATTAATGTTCTCTGTAAAACATTCTGAATCGATATTCTAGTACTGGCAGTCTTATTTATGAAGGTTTAACAATTAGTTTTATATCTACATTGAGGTTTATAGCTTTCTACGCTCGTGTTATTTAATTTCCACTGTTCATTTAATATCATTTTATATATGAAACAGGTAGAATGATTAAGGCAAGGTATCAGGAAGGTGGATTGCACTAGCCAAGCTACCTACTGAGGTTGTGGGTGCTGCGGCTATGTGTTTCAATATGCACAGCCTTAGAACCAGAGCCGCCGGGAATCTACTTAAATGTTAATCACAGCCATGAGGCTAATAAGAAATAAGGGAGATGTGTGATTATTTCTAGAGTAGCATATAATTTCGACATAAAATAAAAATATATATTAGACAATAATCTTCTAATAATAACCTAAAAAAATCGGACTTCAGGTTAATTATTTTTATTTATCTCACTTATATATGAAGCATACAGTAATTGAAAATATTTCTATTGTGGAAATATTATGAAAATGAATTTTCAAAGTTTCAGTTCAAAAACGAAATGTGATACGGAATTTTAATTAGATATTCAATGTATATCACTAACATTATCAATCATCATTTATAGTTTTAGAAAGACAACTTTTAATTTAGTATCCCATAATTTATTTGCGCCTTTGTTACAATGAATCATGTCGTGGCATTCTATTTTAATTAAAGTGACAGTGATATTATATTAATAAAACGTATGTTTTATTTATTATATGTTTCATTACCTGAAATTGCATATCTATCGGCAACTTTCTTTCTTCTGTTCTGACTCGTCTCAATTTGATGACCGTTATTTTTAAAAGCTTTTGTTTCATCATTAACAATTATACAAAAATGCACTAGAATAATTTTCTAATAATAATTGGTAATTCATGGTATCATCGCTTTAATACAGCTTTTTAATAATCAGTGTTACTCTAAATAAAAAATTCCGACATGAAGACTTTTAAAAAAGACCCATTTATTTAGTACAAGAACGTATAAGATAATTGCATGTGTATTGAAATTACAACTTTTTATGATTATTAATATCAAAATCTATGATAAATTAATAAAAACACTAATTGTACCCGAAGAAAATATTTATTTTATTATTTTTTTTTTTTCAAATTGCCATTGCAGACCTTGTAGATCGATCTTTTGCTTTACCAAACTTTTCCATCACTGATATCTTGGGGTATTTCTTTCTAGTTATCTGCATGCAGGTCTATTGCATCTTTAGGCCTTCCACGTCTCATGCTTACTATTGAGAAATACATTGTTCTATAGAGGCTTCTCGATGGATTTTCACGAGCTAGATGTTACGCCCATCTTATCTTCCTTGCCTTTCTGTAATGAGATATTGGTCGAACAGTTTGCTGTAAGCTTTACTTTATTTTCCTTCTCTTTGCGTTAATACTCTGACCCCAGGTCATGCCGTTTATCATGTAGAATTTGTTTCTCTCAAAAGTTTTAATAATTCTTTCTAAGTTACTGGTTTGAGTCCAAATCTCGTAACCGAATACCAGAACTCCAAGAGCTTTATTATTTACTCAATAACTTTGCATTTAAGTAAAAAAAAAAAAAAAAAAATGAAGATTCCTGGTCCTTTTTTAGCTTGACAAAAATACATAGTGAACAGATTGGTTTCACATTATATGATAGTAGGTTATTACCGTAGTTTTAGGAAGAGTAAGTCGTGTATACATTTTACAAACTATATATTTTATTAATTAATTCAGAAATAATAAAAGAAGTCGACAATTTTTATTTATTTATTTCTAACCATGGAGGCTCCTCAATCACTTATGTGTCATTGTATCCCTTACACAATATTTATATTACAAAAAACAAAATTTAACTCTATACTTCAATGTAGAAAAAATTAAAAGATTAAAATTTACAAAGAATAAAAATATATGTTTTAGTAAAATAAGCCTGTATTGAAGTTGTTGATTAGTTCAAGTTTAATTTTGTTTATATATATATATATATATATATATATATATATATATAATATATATATATATATATATATATATATATATATATATATATATATATATATATATATATATATTTTTAGCATTGCTTTATTTCTACTTATTTTTGTTTTATTTATTGTATGAACACTATTTTATTGTTCACCTTTATCACTATTTACTACTGTCCTTACTGACAGAATATAATATTATTCAATAAAGAAACGTAATTAAATAAAATATGTAAAAATAAAATAAGTTAATTTATTCATTAATATTTCACTAGTTTCTGCAATTATTAACGGTTTTTCTGTTTATTATTTATATGCTGAAAAGTAAAACTGGTATATAAATTCAATGTATCGTTGTATTACTTTAATGAATATTGAAGAAATGAATATTCAACCCAAGTTCGTTTGATAAATATTAATTTTTAGATCAGTGAGTGTTGTAGATAAGGTCAACGCAGGTCACATGATTACATTTAATTTAGTTCTTCAGTTTTAAAAGGCATACTTTGAAAACTTTTACACGGGTTTGGTATTGAAAAATTATAATTTTAATAATGCCTAGTGTCCTT